CTTCCTGTGGGAATTTATTTAGGTTAGTAATTTTATTTTTAGGGGGTACTGGGCTAGTACAATTGCACTACAAACCTGAGTTTCTGTATACAGGTGATGGGGAGTAACATTTAATTATGGAATTTTTTTAGTACTGAAACTCAGTACAAAATTTTATTGTTAAAGTAGAATATTGTGATTGTACTGTTAAAAATAAAATAAAAATTTTTAAAACACCTCTCAGTTGCCCCATCTCTGGGTCAGAAAAGAGCATCATCTGGCACCTTCCCAGGGCCAGGTTCTGGGAGAAGCACCAACCCTTCATCCCAGCACTCCTCATCCTCTCAGCTCCCACCCTGAATGCCCCAAGCCCCACATCCCCCATGGATGGAGTTTTATGGCAGGGACAGAGCTGCTCTCACCAACAGCACATTCCACCTGCCCTGAGCCCCACAGCCCATCCAGGACAGCCCCTACACCCTGAGAGGAACAGCAGATTTGTGTTTCCAAAGAAGCTGTGGGTCTGCTGGTAGATAAACGATGAAAGAAACAATGGGAAGGATTGCACTGATTGATGAATGGAAGAAGATATTTGCCTTTACAAATAAACTGTAGGTTTGCTGATAAATGAAATTGGATATTGAAAGATGAAAGAAACAATGGAGAAGAAAAACCCCTAAATTCCATAAGAATTAAAAATTAAAAGGGAGAGTTATACATTAGAGGGAAATCTTTGGTATCAGGAATTCTGGGAAATCTGTACCTCCCAAGTACCTCAGCCAATGGGGAAAGAGAGAAGGGAAATGTGGCTGGGAAATTGGGATAAAAAGGAGGCTGAGTCCTCCAAAAATTAGAGAGACCCCAGGGAATGCCCCATGGCCTCTCCCTTTATTCAAATAAAGTAAAAGGACTCCTCTGTCTCCTTTTTGGACATAAACCTCTGGTATTTGTGGATGAATTTTCCAAACACCCCCAAACACAGAGGCACAGGCAGCAGTGTGGGGTGGCAGCCCCCAGTCCCCCCTGGCAGCCCAGGGCAGGCTGTGCCAGGAGGGGACATGGCAGCAGTGCCAGCTGCCTCATCAAACCCAGCACACCCAGGGGAACGTGCTGGAGACAGGATGGAAATAACCATCCCCAGGAGAGCTCCAAATGCTGCTCTACATTGCAGCAGCAGCAATTTGGGAAAATTTGTGCCAGGGGAGAGAAAGAACCTAAAATTTGGCCCCCACTGCACTCCTCATTTTGGGGCAAAAACCCAAAATCCTCTCATCCCATACTGCACAGAGGTCAAAGCCTCTTATCAATAAACTCAGCAAGCACAGCATTTCTGCTCATGGCAAAGCCCTGTGGCTGGGAGTCACAAAGGAAATAACTCAGCAAGCTCAAGACAAGGAATTGTGGTCCTGCACTGGTATTTCAGCTCTGTTTATCCAAATGAAAATCACCAAGTTTCCAGGAGCTGCTATAATTCTGCTTTTGAGGGGTTTCAGTGATTTCTTATGATGATATTTAAGCTCAGGACAGAATGGAATGGGTGGCCACATAATTCCTGTCAAAGGGTCAATGAGGCTGCCTGGCCTGGAGAGGTATTGATGTGAGGGTTTGCAGTGTTTGCACACTGAGGAATGGAAAGATTTCAGCATACAGACCCCCTGTGAGAAACATCAGGCTGTTTTCTATTTCCTCTGTTCACCTCCTATCCCTACACAATTATATTGCAAACATGAAGTTCAGCCACAAAATAAGGTCTAATTAGCACACTACAGCACAGCTACCAAGTTATATTTTACAAATAAGTGGGAATGACAGAATGTGAAGGAAAAACTCTCTTTTTTGACAAGGTAAATTTTCTTCAGCAGGTTCCAAGTGAGGGAGGATGGAGGCATGGGAACCCCTAATGGTTTGGTTTCCTCCTGCTGACCTGTAGATCCATAAAAACAACCAGGAGCAGGTTTGCTGCTCACACACACACACAGAGCTTCCTGAAGTGTGGGATTTATAGAAAATTCTTAAAATCTGACAGAAGGCTCACATAGTACATATTTGTATGTAAACATTGAGATAAGAAATGTTAACTTATAAATATTATAGAATAAGATAGATATTGTTGAGAGAGAGATGAAACTACAACTAAGTTTTAAAAGTGTTAGTATAAGTATAAACTATATAAGTATATATTTTATATATATAATTATATATTAAAATATATATAGTATATATTATATATATTTTATATATTATATATAAAATATATTATCTAATATTTATATATTATATAGAAAATATATATTATTATACTCTATATTAATATAGTATATTATTATATATACTATATAGACACTATACCTATTGTATATAGTATATATAAAAATATATAGTATAGAAAAAGATAAAGTATATATACACTATATACATATAATGTATATATACTATATATACATATTAAAAAGTATATATAAAGTATATATATTTAAGTATGAAGTATAGTATAAAATAAGTTTTTAAATATATATATTTTATGTATTATATATATTTAATATATAATATTTGTTTTATATATTATATACTTATATTCTAAAACCTTAAATTATAAGTTTTCTACTACATGATATTACACACTTCTATTTAAATTACACACTCATAATATTAGTTATATTCTTTAATTTTGGAACTTTTTCCATGGCCTCAGGTTAAATGCAGTGTTCTCCTGGGGGTCAGTGCCTGTCAGCACAGAAAGTCTGAAATTCTCAGTATTTAGGTTTCCAACACTGCAGTTTTCTCAGTGCTCAAGCAGTTCCCTGGGGTGAAAGTTCATCTGGTTCTTCCACGAGGCTGCTCTCTCTGCCAAGGGGGGCTCAGAGGGGTGTTTGAGCCAGAAGAATTGAGGGGCAGGTGTAATGTGGTGTAAAATTCTGAGGGGCAGGTGTAAAATTCTCTGCCCTGGCTCACAGAGGTGTGAGCTTTGGCTAAAATCCAGCCCACTCATCCCATCACAACTCAACCTCGAGTGCAACTCTGGAAATGCAAATGTGGGAACACGTTCAGGTGCCAGCAGGTAGGAATGCAGCATTTATCATCTCTGCAGCCTCCAGCAGGGGCAGGCATCCCTCCCACAGCTCCTGCCCTGAGCAGAGCCCAGCAGAGCAGGGAGTGCAGGGAAGGGACCCCAGGAGCATCAATTCCTGCACTGGGCACAGCAGGGCTGGGTCAGAGCTCCTGATCAGCACAGACCCCTCCTGGGTGGGAGCAGTGCTGGGAACACTGCACTGCCCTGGCTCCAGGCACATCCAAACATGTGGAGAAACGACTCCAGCAAAATTTGCTTCAACAGGAAAAACCTGCTTCTCTTTTCCAGAGAACAGCAGTGGCACAGGAGCCTCAGAGGGAGTGAATGCCTCACAGCAATACTGGGGAGCAGAGTGACTGTGCTGCCCTTTGGAGAAACACCAGTGTACACATTCAATACCCAAAAAACAGAACAGAAAGGAGCTGAAATAAAGCCCAGCTCTCTGGAGAGGATTCCTCCTCTCCCTCTGGACTTGTATTGAATAACTGTGAGTGAGGCCAGGGACTTGAGCCAATGAGAAAATGCATTTTCAGGAGATTCCCTCTCCTGGCATGAAATTTCCACACACAGGTTTGAAAACACCTCTCAGTCGCCCATCTCTGGGTCAGAAAAGGGCTCAATCAGACACTGCAGTGACTGCAGGCACACAGGACAAACTCAGGCTGGGTTTGGCCAGAGGAAAGCCCAGAGAGGGACTGACACTACAGAGGCACAAACACCACTCTGTGAGCGTGGGCTGCTCCCCCTTTCCTTGTCTGTCTGACCAAGAGCTCAGAGAAGCACTCACACAGATGATGCCCCTCACCTGCTTCCAAGGAAGGGTGTTCCCCTGGCTCAGCAGCAGCCCAAGCACACAGCTGAGCCCTCTGACCCAGCTCAGGTGCAGAAGGAGCTGCTGGTCCCTGGGCAGGGCCCTCCCAGCGCTGCCTTTCCCCACTGTCCTTACCCTGAGGCTGCCCAGCCCAGCTGGGGCTCAGAGCCTGCCCTAATCAGCAGCCTCCAAACTACTTCCATCAGCACAGGGTGTGCACAGGGGCAGCAATGAGCCCTGCACCAGGCTGGGAGAGCAGGAACTGCAGCTGCTCCTGCCCCTCTTCTGCAGCACAGCTGGGCTGGGCTCCATCCCGAGCACCACCAGCCCTGCAGGGCAGTTTGGAGCCTCACTGCTGGGGGGAAACACTTTGTTCTGGCTCAGAACCCACCACAGGCTCTCAGTGATACTCCATGAAAGTGTCTGTGGGCAGGACACTGCAGGGAGCTGCTGGAACAGGCACTGCCAGAGCCCTGCAAGGGGGGGTGATGTCCCCAGAGCACAGATCATGTCCCCAGAACGCAGATAAGGTCTCCAAAGCACAAAAGTTTTGGATTTACCCTTCTCTGTGAACACCTTTGAGCCTGTCAGGGAAACTTCTAGGATGCTGCCCTGGAAGAATTCACCACAGGTTCGAGAGTGCCTCTCACCTTAGGATGAGTGTAAAGGGGCTTTTCCCATGGTGTCCTGCAGCAATGTTAATCTGCCCTTTCTCACGGGTCACTGCCCTTTGTACTGTCCCTGTGTCCCCAAACCATTGTTCCTGACCCCATACTTAACCAAGGACACTCACTGTTTGCCCTGTCCTTGTCCCTGGGTTCCTTCAGTGGGATTGTACAACAAACCTCACTGGAACTCTATACAGAGACCCTTTCTGTCTTTTTTTACTGATCTAGCTGTGCTGAGAGTGTGGATTGAGTCTGTGCTTGCCCAAGCAGCTTTCTCAGAAGATGCTTTTGGGAAAGGTAGCAGCAAACACCATCCATTGATACCAGGCTGCTGCCCTTGCCCTCCTCCAGGCTGTGTGCCCTGATTTGAGGGGTTTGCTGCCTCCAACCCTGAAATTCCACACTAAGAAGCAGCTGAGCTCACCACAGCTCCAATTTCCCACCCAGCTGCCCTCCCCTGTGCCATCCTTACCAGCTTGGTTTTGTCCATGGCTGCCAGCACTGCAGCGTTGAGCGTTTCCAGGGCAGAGAGAACGTTCCTGTATTCCCCCAGGTATGCTGAGAAATAATCTGCAGCAGGACAGAACACCATGGTCAGGCTCCTGAGCACCTCCATCCCTGCCTCCCCTGCTCCTGCTCCCCACACTCAGCCCAGAGCTGCAAGGGGAGAATTCACTTCCCTTTCCAGAATCATTCTCCCACTTGGACTGAAATTAAAAATCCTTCCCTATTGTCCTGTGTTGTAAGATGTGATTTGGGGCTGTGGTTTGGTAAATTCTATCCCCATGTGTCAGAGCTGGGGCAGTTCTCAGCTGTTCTTGGGGCAGTTTTTTCTTGATCTCTGCCCCAGCCAATCCTCCCTGCAGGAGATCTCTGCTGTCCATGGCCACTGAGTGTCCCTGCAGGGCTGATCCAATTCCAGCATCCCATGGGGAGATGCTGCATTGCCCAGGGCAGGAGCCAAGCATTCCTCCCTGGATCCAATGTGAGCCTGGCACAGCCCAGCAGCCTTTGCCCAGGGCATTGCCAGAGGAGCAGCTTCTGCTGCCCTGCATGGCCAGAGGGAGCCCAGGCCCATCTGCAGCAGCCCTGGAGCTGCAGAGGAAAACTCCCCCCTTGTGCAGGATCCCTGCTCCAGCAGAGCCACAGCTGGCACTGCAGGAGGGCTGAGCCCCCATGGGATGGGGCTGTGCCACCCCCTGACACACAGGGGACAGGGCATGTGCTGACTCTGGCAGGGTTGGTTTGTATTGCTGCATTTTTATTTTATTTTTATTTTCTTCCCTAATACAGAACTGTTATTCCTGCTCCCGTATCTTTTCCTGAGAGACCCTTAATTTCAAAATTATAATAATTAGAATATAAATATTAAAAATATTTAATGTTAAAATAGAATTATAATTAAATTATATAATTAATTATATATAATTAATTATAATTAACTAAATTATTTAATATTATTAAATATAATTAATTATCATTAAAATATTAAAATATTACAAATAAAATTTATTGTGATTTTGAAATTATAATAATAATTTTGAAATAACTATTATTATGATTTCAAAATTATAATAATTCAGAGGGAAAATGCATTTTCCATTTCAGGGGAAGCTCCTGCCTTCCTTAGCAGACACCTGGCTTTTCAAACCAAGACACCTCTCCCCTTGGGAAAAGCACCTCTGTGCTGGGATCCAGCCCCAGGGGCCTTTGAGCCACCCAGTCCAGCCCAGGTCAGACACACACAAACCCCACCACACACCTGGGGAGGGGAAGCTCTCCAGGGCAGGAACATCCCTGACTTACCACACAACTTCTCCGTGTCCACGTTGCTGCAAGAAACACAGAAAAGCTCCTGTTAGATAGTGGGGCTGGTGTGGGGGAAACAGTGGTGGTGAGCAGGGGTCTGGGGGCTTGTCTTGTGTGCTGGTGGATTTTCATGTTCATGTATTTTCACAAGCTGCATTAGAAAAAGAAGGAGCTGCACAGGTTCAGAGCCAGCAGCTCAGGAGCCATTCCCAGCCCCTGCAGCACCCAGGGGCTGAAGGAGCAGGAAAATCTGCTCCACCACCATCTCCTGGAGCTGGAGGGTGCTGGGAGAGCACCTGTGACAACAGAGTGGGGCTGGCATGGAGGTGCCCCACACCCTGCCTGGCCATTCCTGAGCCTGGAGCTGCTTCTGCAACCCAACCTCTTCCCCCAAAGCTGGGGAGCATCGAGCCAGGACTCCCTCCTTGTTCATCCCTGACCACAGCCCAGGTCCCCCCATGGCCAGACCCCCTCCTCCTCCTCCTCCTCCCTCAGAGCCCAGGTGCTGGGTGACTTCCAAGCCCTCCAGAGCAGCTGTTCCTGCCCTGAAGGTCATTAAAGCAGGGATCTGGCTCCAAAACCCTGGAGGCAGGGGCCAGACCCCCACCCTTTTTACTAACAGAGAGCACAATCCCCCCTGGCATCCCTGCAGGGCTGGGACAGGTCCCTCCTGAGGCTGCTAAAGGTGCTGCTGGGATTGAGAGGTGTGGGAATCCACAAAATCAGAGGGTTTGGGAAAGCTGCAAAAGGCAGGACTCAAAAACAGCAGAACTGTGGTTAGAGCTAAGCAGCAGCCATGAGATTGATCAGCAGAAAAATTATTTAAAAAGTAGAAAAGCAAGGGCAAATAGAACAATGGTCTGTGTATTAACACTTGTCTAGAATAACTCCCTAAGCTACAGAAAAGTTTATCTAGTGAGATATTAGGAAGTTTGAAGGTTAATAATGGAGCTCTGTGCACTGTGCTTTAAGGCTCACAAGCAGGTATTGTATTTGAAATAAGCAAGCATTGTTTAACCAAAGGTACCTGTGCTTATAGTGGTTGGATAGAACTACTGTCAATGGGCTTTTGCTTTGTGGGATTGGTCAGAAAACTTATAAAGTGAGTTGTAACATTAAGTTCTGGGTCTGCTGCCTGGGATGTGAGCTGGTGGCATCTTCCCATTGTCATAACCATGGAATGAGAGTGATGCTGGAAAATAAAACAGCTCAAGGCACGTTCCAGCAGTCCTGTCCTGTTGGTGATTTGTACAGAGACCCTGGCTGGCGATAGAGAGGGAGGAGGGAATGCTCAGAGGCAGCCCCAGGTTTTGGGATGGGTCTGCAGGGTGCTGCAGGAGCTGCTCAGGTGGCCAAAGGCACAGAGGCAGAGCTGCTCTCCACGCCCAGAGCCTGCAGGGACAGACCCCAGCGTGGCATTGATTCAAATCAGCCTCTGCTCCAGGCCTTCTGCTGCCTCAAAATCCCCCAGATGATTACAACCAATTTTAATCCTGATTGGGAAAGTGGAAGAGAGCCCCAAAGAGAGCTTTTCAAGTGGTTTTCAAGTGTTTAAGTGCTGTCACACATGGGGGAAGTGGCAGTACCTGGAGTTTGCCAGGCTCCCAGCACAGGGAATGCTGCAGTGCTGCTGCTGCCCAGGGGTGGGAAACCATCACCCTGTCCCCTCCTGACACTGCTCACAGGGCAAAGGGACAAAAATACCCCCATTAAAATTAGAGAACACTGTGTGAACTGTCTAAAATGCCATTTAAGGTGAAATAATTAAGGCAAAAATCTTCCTACAGCTTTTCCTGAGACATCAAAGGCTGTTTGTGTCTCTCCCTTTCTCCTGGGCTCCATTGAGAGCACTTTAACAGTGGGCAGTGGCTCAAAGCAGGGCAATATTCTGGTGTGAGGGGTGGCAGAGCCAGGGCAGGGGGCTACAGGCTGCTCTGGGACTGCACCTGGAGCTCTGAGCAGCACAGAGGGACAGGAACGTTCAGCTCAGCTATTTTAAACACACAGCAGCTGATTCAGGCAGGGCTCTGTGCACTGACCTGGCACTGCAGGCACTTTGTAAAGTGGAGAAAAAAATCCTGTTTCCCTTGAGACTCAATCCAGATAAACCTGCAAAGCCACAGCCCCTCACTGTGCCCAACTCTGCTGATCCCATCTCTGGGCAGCTCTGCCTGACACAGACACTGGGGTTTGGGGCACCAGTGGGCACTGGAAAAAGGTTTGGCTCCTTGTGAAGTTTCCTCCTTTATTTCTGGCAGCTGCCTGGAGGCTGCAGAGCTGCTGCAGTGCTGCAAGAGCCCTGGCACTGCAGCATCCACAGCACAGCCCCAGAGCTGCAGAGAAACCTGGCTCCCACCTAAGAGAGGGGTAAAAATCACCCCAGAGGGGATGTGGACACTTTGTGCACACATTATCCAGGCATTTGCACTGGTCCCAGTGAGCACCTGGGGCTGGGACTGGTTTCAGCAGGAACAAGGAGCCACCAGCTCAACTCACTGCCATCCCAGCTCCAGCAAGGTGTGACAGGAGCTGCCATCAACTCCCACCCTGTGGCTCCCAAGGTTATTAATAACTCTTTATATCTTTATATATATATACATATATATATACACATATATATACATATATATTATATATATTTATATATATCTCTTTTTATATATATAAATATATATAAGATATATTTTTATCTATATCTTTATATATATAGATATATATATCTTTATATATATAAAGATAATTTTTATATATTTATATATATAATTTGTATATGTACATAAAAGTTATATGTATATAAAAATTATATATATAAAAAGATATATATATAAATATATATATATAAAGATACAATATCTATAAAGATTATATATATATATATATATATAAAGGTATATATCTTTATATCTTGGCTGCTTAAAAAGAAATGTTAACTAATCAATCACTAAAGCACTGACCACTGAACCAATCAATGACAGCTCGTGGCAGAAATCCCCCCTGTGGGAGCTGTCCAGGGGAGGCTCTGCAGCCCTGCAGGGGAACCTCTCCCATGTCCCAGAGGCTGCAGCAGCCCCCTGGCACAGCAGGGGCAGGACAGAGCACAGCAGGCAAACCCCGGGGCTGCTGGGGCCATTCTGATGCTGCCAGAACTGATTGACCCCCAAACCAGGGTGGGGCACACCCACAGAGTGTGCACACCAAATGCTGACCCACTTTGCAGGGCTGCCAGGGGCAGCAGGCTTTCCTCTCTGCCATTCCCACTCCAGGAGAAGAGCCATCCTCTGCCTCCAAAGCACTCATCCTGAGACTCTCCACATCTCCCAGAGCTGTATTTTGACTGTGCTCAAACCACTGATTAACTGTAATTAAGCCTGAACTGATGATGGAGGAGCTTGTCATCATTATGCTGTTGGGATTTTGTCAGAATGTGCCTGGAATTTATGCAAGGAAACAGCAATCAGCTGCAGAAAAGCAGACGGGGTTTGTTTTTTTTATTATTATTTTTATCATTTATCATGTTGGGAACCTCCACTGCCATCACAGATCTGCTTTCCAAACCTTTTTTGTGTGACACAGAGTGTTTCAGTCACTCTCCATCATCTGGGGCTGGCAGATGCTGCAGTCTCTGAGTAAAGAGAGGAGAGGGAATCCACTCAAATCCCTTCTTCCAGACAATCACAGGCTTGAGGTTATTTCCACCAAGAGACTTCAGGAGGCACCAGGTCAGCATTTCCATCCCTTGTGGCTCCAGGTCAAAGGCTCTGAGCAATCTGCACCCAATTCCTGAACACTCCCATGGAAAGATGCATTTCCAGACCATATTTTTCTAGATTTCCCCAACAGGTGCAGGACAGAAGGACGGGTAAAATCCAGACAGCAATTCCCTGGGCAGGTTTCACAGGGCTGGCATTCAACCCCTGCAATTCTGGATGCAGCTATGGAGCTCTCATACCTCCAAAAACATCAGTCTCTCCTCACCCAGACATTTCAGAGGATGAAAATGCCCTTCTCCAGGAAGATGAACCTCACTGTGCCACTGCCAGAGCTGTGTGGAGCTCTGGACCAGCCACACAAAGCCATGGACCTGCTGCTGTCCCAGCTGCCATCCAGAGCTGAATTTGGCTTCAACATAAACTTTGAAATGTCACAGAATTAAAGTGAGGGGATACTTTATGCCAAAATGGAACCATTTTCTGAAATGCAGAACAAAACCAGCCTGCTGTGGAGATGTAGAATGTGAAGTGACCCCAGCAGAGGTGTGTGATGCACAGGCCCAGTGTCCCACCTGAGAGCCAGAGGGGTGGGAGGTGGACTGAGAAGGGCATGGGGCTCTCTGGAAGGGGAACAAGAAATGTGGGAGAGCTCTGAAATGTTCATGTTCCCAGCAGCTGCAGGTTCCAGGGGTGGGTGAGGGTCAGGAGGGGTCTGGGCATGGAGATCTCTGCTACTGCCCCTCCTCAGATCAGCCTGGCAGGGATGAGGAAACACCAATTCCAGCCTGGACATGACAAACACAGCACCAAACCCACCTGCTGGATTGAGGGTGAAACTTTCCCATCACCACTAAAGCTTCAGGACACAAAGGCAGCACACCACATCTGCTTGCAGAGCTTGGAGCTGCTTCCCAGCTTTGTAATATTCTTCAGTCTGGCAGCAAATTTTGCCCAGCTCTCTGAAATATTAAGTTCCTGGCAGTGCAAGGGACAAGGCCAGGGGAGAAGGGCTGTCCAAGGCACCATGGGGACAGCAGGGCACCAGCACAGCCCTCATACAACACCAGATCCTGCACTCCCCAAAGCCCACGTTTCCTGCATTTGCAGGAATTTGCAAACAGCTCTGTCTGAGGGTCCCTTCTGCTCTTGGTGGCAGGAAGAGAAGCCAAGGCTCACACCCTGCTAAAGGTGTCACCAGCTCAGTGCTGTCACTGCTGCCCTCGTTAGGTAATGAGCTCTGGGGGCTCTGCTGCAGCCACGGCTCCCCGGGCAGCCCAGCCCAGTCAGGGCCCCTCGGCTGCTCCAGATGGATGGAACAAGCCCCACCTGAAGGTAGGAGACCTTCCCTGCTCAGATTTGATCTGGGTTAAAGCTCCCAGCTTCACTGAATTCCCAGAATGACCAGGCTGGAAGAGACCTTCAAGACCATCGAGTCCAACCCAGCCCCAAGCCCTCAACTCAACCCTGGCACCCAGTGCCACATCCAGGCTTTGTTAAACACACCCAGGGATGGGGACTCCACCACCTCCCTGGGCAGCCATTCCAGAACTTTATCACTCTTTCTGTGTAAAACCTTTCCCTAATATCCAACCTGTATTTCCCTTGACACATCTTTTGCTGCTCCCTGTGTTTTCCAAGGCTGTTGTGACTCTGAGATCACCCCAAAATGGAGCAAGAGGAAAGGAGCATTTCCAGAGGAAAGGGAACACTCACTGCAGCTTCCTGGGATCCCAGCCCAGAGACAGAGAGGTTTCAGAGATGTTTTTCTGCTGCCCACACCCACAAGCCCAACCAGCAGGCTCCAAGGAAAGCAGCACAAGGCTGCCCACCCCTGCTGTGGGAACCAAACCCAGCTCCACCAGCACTGGGAGTTCACCATTCCCACTGCCCCAGTCCTGAGTGGGTGGTGACACTGGGTGTCTGCTGTTGGTGGCATTTGGTGGCTGTTGGCATCTCAGTGGGACAAATGCCCTCTGTGCCACCACCCTGGCTCCCTGCAAAGCCCTGGGACAGCGTGTGCAGCTCAGGCTGCCCCAGATTTCCTCACCCTGGCAGGGACCTGTGCCCTGGTGAAGGGTGTCAGAGGTGCAGGGGAAGCCAAAGCTGCCCCCCAGCCTGGGGAGAAGCTGCAGCCCCTTGTCCCCCAGCAGCACCCAGTGTGTGGACAGACCCCAGCCATGCAATGCAGCAGCACCCAGCTCCTCCCAGTGCCAGGACAGACTCACCCACAGCACCCAGCTGGGCATAGAGACCCCAGTGAGGCCAAAATACCCAAAAAGCTGGGATGAGCATCCCAGACAAGCCCAGCAGAGCCCTCTGGATAGCACCACTCATGAGGAGACCAGAACTAAACTCAATTCCTTCTCCTCATCTGTGGAGCTTTTTTTCACAAGTAGCTGCCCTAAATTCCCTGTTAGGAGACCAGAGTTAAACTCAATTCCTTCTCCTGATCTGTGGAGCTTTTTTCACAAGTAGCTGCCCTAAATTCCCTGTTAGGAGACCAGAGTTAAACTCAATTCCTTCTCCTGATCTGTGGGGCTTTTTTTTTACAAGTAGCTGTCCTAAATTCCCTTCTACATGCACCAGGCCCACTTGTGTGGAAAGCAGCTCTTACATAAGTGCCAAGCAGCTCCTGAGTCAGCAGTGGCAGAGTCTGTGACTTTGTGTGTCCCCACACCAGCACAGGCTCCTGCAGGCACACAGCCTGCTCCACGGGCTGCCTATTCCTGGAGCACATTTCCCAAACCACAAGAATGGCATTTTCAATGCTTGCTTGCCTTCTGGAGCTACAGGAAATCCATGGCTGCTCTCAAAATGTCTGGCTGCTCTCAGCACTCCCAGGGCTCACTGCTGGTTTCAGTGGCTCTGTGGCAAGAGGTGGGTTTGTCTCACCCTGATTATTTATCACACCTGCCTCCCAAGCTCCTCCACCTCCAGTCAGGCAGTTTTAGCTTCTCCTGCATCTCCTCAGTGCCACCACCATGGTACTCACTCTGAGTGACGCCTGTCAATGCCACTGAACAACTCCCACAGCTCCTCCGAGCTCAGGATGCCATCAGAGAAATAGTTCTTGAACTCCTCAAATGACAGCTTCCCATCATCTGCATTCAAAGGAAAGGGAAGAATAATTATATATCTGTGGAAAGCAGCATCCCAGCCCTGCGTGGGATGGGGCTGGGCATGTTCTGCATCATAATTACAGCACAATCTCCCTGAGAGCCTGGCCCACCAGCCCAGCAAAGACACTGGGTGCTGCTGGAAGTGCAGGTGGGAATTTCAGCCCTTCCCTAAAGGCCCCACTGTGGTGTTCTCAGAAAGGCACACAGACTGTCCAAGAACAGCACACTGAGGGCAGCATCAGATTTCCATGGAAAGAAAGTGCTCTCCATGGACTCAAGAGCTTTTTCCTTCCTCTCTGTGGAGGACTGCAGCTCCTGGGCTGCATTTTGATCTGCAATAAAAGCATCTCCTGTGCTACCATGAAGGAAAAGAGCCAAGAGAGTGTGGGAAGGCTCAGGGATATCCCTTGTGATTTTGGACCTCTTGGTTTATGGGTGCTGGATTAAAAACTGGGTGGCAGAGCCTAACTCCCAAATGCCAGGGGCTGCAGGGGCACCCAGAAACAGAATCCCTCAGCCAGGAGGGTGAAACTTTCCCATCACCCCCAAAGCTTCAGGACACAAAGCATCACACGAGATCTGCTTGCAGAGCTTGGAGCTGCTTCCCAGCTTTGTAATATTCTTCAGTCTGGCAGCAAATTTGGGCCAGCTCTCTGAAATATTAAGTTCCTGACAGTGCAAGGGACAAGGCCAGGGGAGAAGGGCTGTCCAAGGCACCATGGGGACAGCAGGGCACCAGCACAGCCTTCATACAACACCAAATCCTGCACTCCCCAAAGCCCATGTTTCCTGCATTTGCAGGAATTTGCAAGCAGCTCTGTCTGAGGGTCCTTTCTGCTCTGTAAAACCCTGCACTGAGCACGGAGACAGAACCAATCCTGTGAGGGACCCAGCAGAAGCCTGGCAGGCCCTGGGCAGGAGAAGGGCTTGGAAGGGGCTGTGTCCTGCACGGATGGGAACTGGGAGAGCCATTCCCCATGCCCTGGGCAGGCTCTGGGATCCAGGTGAAGCAGAAAAGCCTTTCCCACCCTCCCTCTCCCAGCCAAACCTCCCAGTGGGAAGGAGCCAGGCAGGGAGGGGGAGGCAGCAGAGGAACAAAGCACTCACCGTTCTTGTCGGCTCGCCGGAAAATCTGCAAGACAAAACACAAGAGGAGAGAAGGGCAGCTGAGCAGTGAGGCAGGCAGCAGCCAGCACCACGGAAAAACACCTCCAGGAGCTCAGGGAGAACAGCTCCAGCTGTTGGGACTGCACAGGCTGCCCTGGGAAATGCCCTTTTGCCAATGATTAAACCCGTTTCTTGCCCTTAATGCACAGAGCTCTTGGCTGAGTGAGCCTAGCACTCACAGCAAGCACCTTTAGAGAACACACAGGCAAAGCAGAAAGGACTTTGCTGCATCCTGTGATGGCAACTGTTTAATTTTTCAGTCCATTTAAAGGAAAGAACATTAGGGATAAACCCAGTCTGTAAGGAAGCACTTTGTGCATCACCAACACTCCAGCACCTGCATCAAGGAGCAGCTCCTGCCCTGAGCTTTGTAACCAGCCCTCAGCACAGCCCTTCCCACAGCTCCTCGGCATGCACACTCACTGTAATTAATCATTAATGAGTTAATTAATCTGTAACTGCTTCTGCCACAGGGCACAGCTGGAGAGCTGCTCCAGTTCAGGGTCTCAGCACAGATTCCCAACCATGAGGCTTCTCCCATGACCCAGGAGAAAGCTGGGGCTGCTCAGCCCTGCTGGGACCTGATTCACCAGGAATTATTTGGGCTGACTCTAGTGAGGAACAGCATCACCTCTGAAGCCTGGCAACGTTTTTCCAGACCAAAATGTACAAGGTTTTGTCCAGCACATCCTAATGGAGCCAACAACAGAAAATTTTCTATGTGGAAACCATCCTTTATCTCATCCTGGATTGTGGACACATTTCTCTTCACAGAGAAAAGCAAGGCACAACTTCCCAAGGACATTTCTGGGAATCACAGAGAGGAACCTCAGAGAAAGAAAGAACAATTCTTATCTCATTTACTGCTCCTGTGTTGTTCACAAGTGGAATGCATTGTGGAAGATTGTTTACCTGAAGGGAATTGGTAATTGGATTCTGGTGTGAGTGTTTTGATTCACTGACCAATTGAATCCAGGGGTGTGTGTCAGGACTGTCACTGACAGGAGATTCTGGGCAGTTGAGTGGAGTGTTTGTGCAGATTCAATGTAATATAACATAGAATAATATTGTATAATAAAATAATTCATTAATTAGCCTATATATAATAAAATAATAATTAATTAGCCTTCTGAATAGAGTCCTCCTCATCAATCCTCCCTTTGTCGGGGTTGCCCTGATTTACTATACTGGCTGATGAAGGAATCTGCAGGTCTGAAGAAAGATTAGGAAAGAAAAAGGGCCAGGAAAGGAGACAGAACTTTTCTATTCTTGCCCCCAGACCCAGAGCAGCCCCCTGCACAGGCAGAGGCACCACTGCTCCTCCTGCACTGCCCACCACCAGCTCTGTGCATGTCCCCAGGCTCTGACATCCCCCTGAGAACCTGAGGCAAAGGAGGAGCTGGCCAGGAAAACCCCCTGAGCCTCTGGCTTACAGCTGGGTTGAGGTTTTTGTAGAGCTGGAGCTCCCTGGGTCCTTCCCTGGGAATCAGGAGCAGCTCCTTGGAGGATGCTCCTGTGAGCACAGCGAGCTCCTCCTGCCCCCAGCTGAAGAGCAGGGGCTGCCTTGGGCCAGGCAGCTCCAAGGAACCATCCCCAGGGTCCCAGCTGGCCAGGAAAGGGGGTGGGCACCCCCTGAGCACCACACAGCACACACTGAGCTGAGAGGGAAACCTGCAGCTCCCAAACGCTGGTGATTCCTCTGGATTTTAGAGCAAAGCTTTCTCCAGGCTAATGGGTTCCTTGTGGGGTCTCACAGCTGCAGGGGCAGCACCCGTGGTATTGTATTTACAGTATTTATTGTATCACAATTTTAAATTTGTATTTATTGTATTCCTGGCCCAAAAAAGGCAGGAATGATGAATCTGACTCCATGTTCTCAGAAGGCTCATTTATTACTTTATGATACTATATTATATTAAAGAATACTATACTGTACTAAAGAATACAGCAAGGATATTTACTAAATGCTAAGAAGATAATAATGAAAACTGGTGACTCTCTCCAGAGTCCTGACACAGCTTGGCCCTGATTGGCCAAAGAGTGAAAACAACTCCCAGCAGAATGCAATGGAACAATCACCTGTGGGTAACCAATCTCCAAACACATTCCACATGTGAGCACAACACAGGAGAAGCAAATGAGATCAGAATTGTTTTCCTTTTCTCTGAGGCTTCTCAGCTTCCCAGGAGAAAAATCCTGGGCATGAAGGGATTTTTCCAGAGAATGTGAATGGCACAGGCATGGGTCCCACCCTGCCATGGACTCTCTATCAAGGGAGAAGCTTCATCCTGCAGAGCTGTGTGTCATCAGAGGGACACATGGCTCGTGTGGCTCCAGGTGTCCCAGAGGCCACCCAGCTCATCCCAGAGACAGCCAAGTGTCACCCAGGCACTTTGAGCGAGGGCAAACATTTCCCTCTCTCAGGCTGGCCTTGCTCAGCAGGGCTTATCTGTGGGCTCAGAGGCAGAACTCAGCTTCAGGGGAGACCAGAGACCTGAGCTGTGGTGGTGTTCACAGGGGTCCCAGGACAGAGAAGAGATGAGAATGTTGACTTTATGTTTCAGAAGGCTGGTTTATTATTTTAGGATATATATTATATTAAAACTATACTAAAAGAATAGAAGAAAGGGTTTCATCAGAAGGCTTGCCAGGGAAGCAGAGAGAATGGAATGATAACAAAATCCTGTGACTGACTGAGATAGTCCAGACAGCTGGACTGTCTGGATTGGCCATTAATTAGAAACAATCACATGAGACCAATCACAGATCCACCTGTTGCATTCTACAGATAATCATTGTTTACATTTTGTTCCTGAAGCCTCTCAGCTTCTCAAGAGAAAAAGGGAAAATCACAGCAAAGGGATTTTTCAGAAAACTACACTGAGGTGGTCTCTAATCTGGGGTGAGCCCATCCTGGCTTCGGCAGGAGCCTCAGCTGAAGAGAGTGGGTACACAGAGTGGGTACCTGTTCCTCACAAGGCTCAGTGAGTTACAGGAGCCAGTGCACACAGGACAGCTGCCTGGAGCTCCAGAGGAACGTGGCACAGGCAGGAGCTGTGAGTGCCCCCGGGGCAAGGCCATGTCTGCTGCAGGGCTCCATGTTGTGTTGTGATGTCAGGGTTTACCCCAGAACCTCGGGTCCCTCCCCTGATAATTCCCTCCCAGGTGTGTCAGTCTCCTCTCCTTTCCCTCCCTGACCCCTCCCAGCACTGTCTGTCAGTCCTGGCATTCCAGAAGGGCATTGAGTGATTGGCAGAGTCACAGGATGCCCTCTACCCCTGGGGGGCACTGGGCCATCCAGGTGTCCTTTGTCCCTTTGTCCCTCCCCTCCTGTCCCTGCTTGGTGGCTCCCTGCCCCTTCCCTGCCCTCTCCCCGGGGTTCAAAGGAGCAGCAGCCACGGGCTCAGGGAGTTCTGTGGGAGCTGGTGCTGCATTCAGAGGCCTGAGGGCCAGAATAAAGCTCTGGATCCAAAGCCTCCATCAGAACCGACTCCTTTCCTTCACCATCGCCTCAAAGCTTCTCTGCCAGAGGGAAACCTGAGGAGCAGCCCCTGTTATGGGGGGAAGCTCCATCCCAGCACCACCAGAGCTCCTGCAGGCCTGGACCTGTCCCCAGTGCCAACTGCAGCACCCAGGCAGGCAAAAGTGTCTGTGGGGTGAAACACCACACACCCAGCAGCCAAAAGTGTCTGTGGGGTGAAACACCACACACCCAGCCAGCCAAAAGTGTCTGTGGGGTCAAACACCACAGTTGCCGCCTTTTGGTCAAGCAGCAAGGTCCAGACAAGTTCAGGCATGTCTTGTCCTATATTGGTAATAATTTACCAATATAGCCTGGCATGGCAGGGCTCTGGCTGCCTGCAGCCAGCCCATCCCAGTCTAAGCCGAGGACCATCTCCAGCCCAGCCCAGCCCAGCCAGCACAGAGCCCTTTCCACGCTCCACAGGGCCAGTGCTGTCCCCTCCCTGGGCTCAGGGATGGCAGCTGAGCACTGTCCCCAGTCAGGACAGCACCCTGGGACAAAGCCAGGGGAAGGTGATGAAAAACCAGGCTGGGAGTGGGATTAGGGCCCTACAGGGAATCTCTCTCTTGCCTCAGGGTGCAGCCCCAGAGGCACTGCCTGGAGCCCGGGATGTTTCCCTCAGCCCTTGGGCTTGTGCCCAAGCAGCTGCAGCCTCACCAATACCAATGGAAGAGGCACTGAAACACCATTTATTCATGGGATGAGCCCCACATGCACCCCAGAAAGGATGGAGATTATAGGATTCCTCCCTGCCCGCAGGTGTGGAGGCAGCTGCAGTGCTGGGGAGGGGACAGCTGCCCTGGGGACATGGACAGGCTGTGGCCAGGCAGCGCCGTCCTTGTGCAGCTCCCGTGTCCCAGGAGGGCACAGAGCAAGCCCCGGGCCTGAGGGATGAATCTCCCTGAGGCTGGAGATGATGCACAGGGCCATGGCAGCACTGCGGCTCACACCCTGCCTGCAGCAAAGCCCTCCTCCTCCTCCTCCTCCTCCTCCTCACTGCTCCCAAAGGCAGGAGATGTGCTGGCAGGTCCCAGAGGAGCAGCAGCCACCGGGATGTGCAGTGGGCAGCGCTGCCAGGGGCAGGCAGGGATCCTGCCCTGCTGCCAAGGGATGCTCACTCACCCCGACCAGCCTGGCTGTCACAGACATCTTTTATGGAAAATCCTTTCCTTAGGATTTTTCCTCCTGAGAAGCTGAGAGGCCTCAGGAACAAAATGTAAACATTGATTATCTGCTGCTGTGGAATGCAACAGGTGGATCTTTGATTAGCCCATGTTAGTTGTTTCTAATTAATGGCCAATCACAGTCAGCTGGCTCAGACTCTCTGTCTGAGCCACAAGCCTTTGTTATCATTCTTTCTTTTTCTATTCTTAGCCAGCCTTCTGATGAAATCCTTTCTTCTATTCTTTTAGTATAGTTTAAATGTAATATATATCATAAAATAATAAATCAGCCTTCTGAAACATGGAGTCAGATCCTCATCTCCTCCCTCAACCTGAGACCCCTGTGAACACCGTCACACCTGGGGGCAGCTGGGCACCAGCCAAGTGCCCAGAGCCAAAGGTGCAGAGATGAAACTCACCCTGCCAAGCTCTGGAGCAAAGGTGGGAGCAAAGGAGTCACAGGGTAGAGGAAGAGAAGCCGTCAGAACCCGGAAAGCAGCTGCTAGCGTTGTTAACATTTCCCATTTTAATTGCTTTAATGACACCCTGAGGGATGGATGTGCGACTCAGCGAGTGCCCTGAGGAGCTGAGCTGGAACACAGCTGTCACCACCGCCCCCTCCTGCCCACCTCCCCTCAGCCGAGTAATTAGCGCGGTTAATGATGCTGGCTGGAGAGCCTGGCAGCCCGAGCCCCCCAGGCAGGAGAGAGACCCCGACCCCAGCTGGCAGCTGAGCGGCACCACGGCTTCCCAGCGCCTCCCTGGCCATGCCGGGGGGGTTAGACTGGACCAGACGTGGCTGGTCCACACCGGGATCTGCTGTTCCCCTCCTCTGGCATGGGCTGGGGCACGGGGGTGAACGGGAGCGGGTCAGGACGGAGATGGCAGCTGGGACATGGCAGCTGGCACCAACCTGGGCTGTGCCAGTGCCCGGGCACCCCATCCTCGCTGCCTTTCTCCTCCTCCCCGGGCACCCCATCCTCGCTGCCTTTCTCCTCCTCCTCCCTGCGGCAGGGCAGGGGCAGCACCTGTATCCCCGCACGTCCCTGCTCCCCAGGGGGGCTCAGAGCGCAGCAGTGCCGGACACTCGGCAATGCCAGGGCTCTGTCACCACGGCGATTTGGACAGGAGCAGGAGGGCCGGAGGTGCTCCAGGGGTGGCTGTGGCCCGGGCTGTGCCCCTGGCCCATGGCCGGCATGCAGCCGCCTCCCCCGGAGGCACAGGAGGGGACGCGGTGTGACAGGAGGAACTGTGCCAGCATCCCCGAGCACAAAGAGAGCCACCACCTGCATTTCCCACTCCCCCGTGCCACCCACAGCCGCCAGGATGCCGAGGCAACCTCCAACCCGCACGGAGCATCCTCCTCCACAATCCCGGAGCGTCGGGAGCGGGCAGGGACAGGGCTGCACCCGGGGGCTGCACCCGGGGGCTGCCGCAGGCAACGCTCTGCTGGATCCCATGGCTGTGAACAGCTCCAGGGAACCTTCCACGGCGTTCCTGCCACACAGCTCCCGCTCCGGGAGTCATGACAGCCAGCTCTGGATGAGGCGTGGGCTGTTCCCAGCCACCAGAGGCCCAGCATTCGGCAGAAGGACACGACATCATTACTGAAGCCATCACGACCACGCTGGCACGGGCGCATCCCCCGGGCCGGTTCCTGCGGGAAGGAGCCTCACCCGATCCCAGCCGTGCGGCGGCTCCCGAGCGGGGCACGGGCTGCGGGGGTCCCGCCCGCGGTACTCACGTCGTGGAAGATGGGCAGCGGCTGGCGGCGGGGCTTGGGGCCGCGATCTGCGGAGAGCAGGCACACGGCCAGCAGCTCGGCACACGACATCATGGTCCCGCCGGGCGCGGTGCTGCGGGCACCGGGGAGCGGAGCGGTACCGGAGGGTGCGGTGCGGTACCCGGGATGCGGTGCGGTACTGCAGGGCACAGGTTCGGTGCGGTACCCGGGATGAGGTGCGGTGCCCTGGGATGCAGTGTGGTACTGCAGGGCACAGGTTCGGTGCGGTGCCCCGGGATGCGGTGCGGTGCCCCGGGATGCGGTGCGGTACTGCAGGGCACAGGTTCGGTGCGGTGCCCCGAGATGCGGTGCGGTGCCCCGAGATGCGGTGCGGTGCCCCGGGATGCGGTGCGGTGCCCCGGGATGCGGTGCGGTGCCCCGGGATGCGGTGCGGTACCGCAGGGCAGGGGCGCTGCTGTACGGATGGGTTCGGTGCGGTGCCGGGGGGCACGGCTCGGTGCGGTACCGTAGAGATGGGCTGGGTGCGAAAAGAACGGCCTCGGTGCGGTAGGGATGGGTCTGGTTCCGTGCCTAAGGGATCAGATGCGTGCCGGAGGGACGGGCTCGGTGCGGTGCCGTAGGGATGGGTTCGGCTCTCCTCAGTTCGGCAGGGCTGGTTCAGCTGGGCTCAGTTGGGTTCGGCAGGGTGGCTCGGCTCGGTTTTGTTGGCTCGGTTTGGTTGGCTCGGTTCGGCCCGGCTCGGTTGGGCTCGCTCCGTGCGCAGGTCGCGCCCCGCCGATCCCGACTCAGCCGAGCGGCTCCGCCGCCCCAGCCAACTTTGCCTCCGCGGAGGGCCCGCCCCCGCCGCCATCCTATTGGCCAGGAGCTGTGATTGACACCAATAACCACCAATGGGTTTTGCGTAGGGGAGAGGGGCGGGGCCGCGCTGGGTCCCGGTGCCCGCTCGCCGCTGGGGCGGTCCCGGTGGACCCAGAACAGCCCCGTGGGGTCCCACCCCTGGGTTGTGTGACCGTCCCTGAGTGTCCCCGTGCGACCATAGCTATCAGTGCTGGCCCCACAGCAGCCCTGGGTGCCCCAGCTGATCCCAGTGTGGCCACAGGTGGTCTCGGTGTGGTCGCTGTTGGCCCCACAGCAGCCCTGGGTGCCTCAGCTGGCCCTGGGGTGGCTCTAGTCTGGTGATGGATGGTCCCAGTGTGGTCGTTGTGGACCCCACCGTAGCCCTGGGTGCCCTAAGCGAGGCCCCAGGTGGTCCCAGTTTGACTGTGGGTGGTCCCAGTGTGGTTGCTGTTGCCCCCAGGGTAGCTCTGGTCTGCCCCAGATAGCCCTGGGCCTGCCCCAGTTTGACCATGGGTGGTCATAGTGGGGTCATGGCTGGTCCTAGCATGGCTTTGTTTGTCCCACTGTGGCTCCAGTTGTCCCAGTTTGTCCACAGGCGGTCCCAGTGCAGTCACTGTTGGCTTTGGGGCAGCCCTGATTGTCCCAGTTGGTCCCAGTTTGACCACAGGTGGTCCCAACATGGACACAGATGGCACTGGGAAAGTCCTGGTTGCCTCAGTTGGCCCTGGGTTGGCCCCAGTTTGACCCCAGGTGGTCCCACTGTGGTTTTGGTGGCCCTAGATCCCAGGGTGGCTCCAAATGAGTGCCTGGTGGTGCCAGCTCCTCCAGTGCCAGGCAGCCTTTGCTCAGAGCTGCTTCCCTCTGGAGCAACATGCCAGGATCCTGGTACCTCCAGAGATGGGAACCCCCCCTGCCTCAGCAGGCTGGGGGACAGGAGGAGGAGGAGAAGGAGGGGGGGGGAGGAAGAGCAGCTGTCCCCATCCCTTGCCTGGCACAGGCACTTGGGGGCTTGTGCCTCCATTCCAGGATTTCACTTTATGAGAAAGGGCCACGAACCAGTTTTGCTTGGGTTTTGCAGAATCCCACGCAGGCTTTGCCTCTCTCAGCACCACCTCTGCTTTCACCTGGAGCTCTGCAGGACACCCTGACTGCTGAGCTCAGCTCTGCTTGGGCCAGGTCTCAGATCCCAGCTCCTTCCCCACCCCAACGTGACCCACTGCAGCACGTGGAGCTTGCTCACCTCCTGCTCCCCCTGGGACAATGTGCTCCAAGCTCAGCCCACGGCATCACAGCTATTTTTACCATCTCCCAGCTGTTCCAGGTGTGTGCAAAGCAAAAGAGGTGGAAAAAGCACAGCTGGGCCCTGGCAGGGGCATCCAAGGGCTCCAGGGTGCTCGTGCACTCCCTGCCCTTGGCACGGGGCTGTCCCTGTCCCCAGGGAGGCACAGAGCTCCAAGGGCTGGAGCTGCTGAGCATGGCCATCATCAAATCCATCTGAAATGGGAGCAGGAACAGAACACAGGCCAGGGGTGCAGCAGGGACAGGGGCTCACCTTGCCAGGGAGCATGGAAGGGTCTTGTGTGATGGTGAGGATCAAAATCCCCCCCTTGGAAGGGCTTCCCACACTCCCCTCTGCCCCAAAAATCCGCACTTGGTGCCCAGTGGGATCCCTGGGAGTCAGCATGGGTTTCCAAGTGGGAAGGAGCAACTTGAGAGTGAGGGTGAAGTCCAGGCTGATGGCAGGAGGTGACAGGAGCTCCCAATCCCAGAAAGCCACGGCAGGGAAGGGGGACATGGCCCAGCTGGGGGGGACACCAGGGCTCTGCTCCCCAGCACCTCAGGGAGGAGGGATTAAAGGGAGCAGCCACTCTACAGCATCCCAGGAATAAACAATGCTGCTCTTCAGCTCCCTGAGCTCCCTCCTTTGCAGGAAACAGGAGGGATTTTTGGAAGTGGAAATAGGGAAGGGGAGGGTGGGATGCAGAGGTGGGGCAGGACACCCCTGCCTAGAGAGACCCCAAAGCCCCCTAGGACCCTCTGAGGGGGATCAGGTTGAAGATACAAACCCCTTATGGGGGGCATTAATGCCACTGCCAGCCTGTCCTGGAGCTCACCCCACTATGGAGCTCCCCTGAGCCCCCAGATCCCAACCCGACAGCCCAGGGCCAGGACACCCCGGGGCTGCCTGGGCTCAGCACATCCTGCCCAGCATTTTCCAATGCCAGGGGGTCACCACTGCAGCCCCAGGCTGGTTGGACATTGTCCCTGTGGGGTGACACTCCTGGCAATGAGAGCCCAAGGATGAGTGCAAGGTGCCCATCCCCTGACCTGCTGCCTTCACCTGCCAGAGAAAAGCAGCTTTGCAGCAGAAAAATCAAACCAGGCAGTGCCTGGGGCTGCTTCCCAATGCTGCCATGTGCTCTTCTACCATCAGCTCCCTCTCCAGGCACCCGAAATAGCAGAGGGAAGCCCTTGAGCTGCATCATGAATCATCCTGGGAGGCACAGTGGTTATTTTTACGTGGCTCACGTGGAGCTGGCAGTGCAGCCCCCAGGGGGACACAGCCCTGTCCCTGTGGTGGTGCTCACAGGGGTCCCAGGATGAGGGAAGAGATGAGAATCTTCACTCCATGTTTCAGAAGGCTGATTTACTATTTTATGATATATATTATATTAAAAGAAAATGATAGATTATAACTATACTAAAAGAATAGAAGAAAGGATTTCATCAGAAGGCTTGAAAGGAATGGAATGATAATTAAATTTTGTGACTGCTCACAGCCTCGACACAGGTGGCTGTCATTGGTCATCAGGTAAAAACAATTTCCCATGCTGGGTAAACAATTCTCCAAATCACATTCCAAAGCAGCAAAACATGGAGAAGCTGAAGCTTCTCAGGAGAAAAGATCCTGGCAAAAGGATTTTTCATAAAATATGTCTGTGGCACTTTGCCTTCTCTTGGGGGAAAGGGGCAGAGCTGTGCTGGGGCTGGGGCTGGGCTGGCTGTGGGAGCAGCCCCGTGGAGCTGGGGATGGCAGCGCAAATCCTCTCCCCTCTCCTTGTGCCCCCTCCATAAAACCATTCCCTGTGCCGGGGTGTCAGAGCAATGGGGGTGGGACGGTCAGGACAGACGGACACGAGAGATCTCTGCAGCCAGGGCTGGAACTTGGGGGTTATTGCAAAGGGCCTGGGGGCAGGGCCCTGCTGGGAGCTGCCAGCCACAGCCCAGAGCAGGACTGAGAGAAGAGAGGGGGAGAGAGGATGAGAGGGAAAGAGAGCAAAAGGGTAAGGGAGTAAAAAAGGTAAGAGAGTAAAAAGGGTAAGAGAGCAAGGTTCCCATTACAATACAATAAATCCTCTTCTGTGTTGAATATTCTAATTTTCACTAGCCAATATAGTACAAGGTAAAAATCCTACAGCATTTCCATACAGCCTGTAAGAATCATTACATCACCATCCTGTGTTACATTTTAAACCCTAAAAACTCTTCTTTGGGCCCCTCTGCCCAGCCAGTGGGGTCTGCTCTGCCCCTTGGGGCTGTCTGCAAGCAGAGGGTGTTGTTCCATCAAAAGGGGATCACCTTCAGCTGGCCACACCATTGTTTTCCAGTTGTTCAGTAACTGAGGTATCTCAAAGTTTGCTTTCATTTCAATCTCGCTTATAGTTTCCATATTCTCAAAATCTATTGCCAGGCAATCATATTGATAAGGCTTTCCTGTTTCCAACACTGGGGTCTCTCCCCTTTGCAGCACTGCAGGTCACCATCACCATCACCATCACCATCCATCCCCACGGGACTGAGCAGAGGAGGGGGGGGATGGCTGGGGAGGAGCTGGCATGGGCTGGGCTGGGCACCCTGCAGTGTCAGGGTATCTGTTGCCACTTCTGGGTTATGGCTGGGCCCTCCCTGGGGGCTCCCCTGTCAGGGGAGACCCTCCTGGGCTGGTTCTGTGCCAGGAAAGAGAGATGCACTGGATCCTTTTGGTCTTCAGGTTCTTGTTTATTGTTCTCTTAAGTTTTGCACGCTGTCCACACCAGGCTCAGCACGCTGGAAAAGCACCACAAAAATGGCCAACAATCTCTGGTTACAAGGTCTTTTAAAGCTAAACTATCCAATTAAGAGCTGACACCTGGATTATTTTCCCTTTTAACCCAATAACTGATCCCACAGAGCCCACAATGGGGACTTTTCTGCCCAATTACAAAATGCCACCCAAACCCATGAAGAAGAAGGTGTGGGAAGAGAGGCACAAGGATGCAGGCAGGATGCCAGGCAGTGCAATGGGCTCTCTGTGCCACCCAGCAGCCTGTCCTGACGTGGGATCCCATTGCCTGCTGCTGCAGGAGCAGGGGCAGTTTACACAATGTGCTCAGGGTGAAATATTTATCAGGCTGTTTAAAGGAAAACCAGGCAGGAGGAGGGGAGAAAGGGCACAAACAGGGGCAGGAAGCAGCACAGCCCCGGCTGCCACTAGGGAGCCCCTGAGCCCCATCCTGGCTGCCAGGAGCCCCTGGGAGCTCCAAGCACCCCTCCCTGGGGTCCCCAGTGCCCCTCAGTGCTGCAGAGGGATCAGGGCAGGCAGGGCAGGGCTGCTGCTGCTGGCAGTGAGTCCCCAGCCAGCAAGGACATGGGGACCTCGAACCTTGGGCCAGAAACCTGTGCCAGCAGGTGCCTTGAGGCAGCAGCAAGAGCTGGGTGAACAGGGAAAGTGGGAACTCGGTGGATGGAGTGGCTTCACACTGGCCCCATGCTGCAGGAAAATGCTGCCCCAAAACCAGGGTGAAGGTGGGGAGGGGACCAGGTGTCACAGACATCTTTTATGGAAAATCCTTTCCTTAGGATTTTTCCTCCTGAGGAGCTGAGAGGCCTCAGGAACAAAATGTACCCAATGGTTATCTGCTGCTGTGGAATGCAACAGGGGCATCTGTGACTGACCCTTGTTGGTTTGTTTGTAATTAATGGCCAATCACAGCCCAGCTGGCTCGGACAGAGAGTCAGAGCCACAAACCTTTGTTATCATTCTTTCTTTTTCTATTCTTAGCCAGCCTTCTGATGAAATCCTTTCTTCTATTCTTTTAGTATAGTTTTAATGTAATATATATCAAATAATAAATCAGCCTTCTGAAACATGGAGTCAGATCCTCTTCCCTCATCCTCAGACCCCTATGAACACGGTCACAGCCAGGCAGGAGAGGAGCCAAGTGGGGACAGGGGCTGCTGAAAGGAAAGCAAACCCCATCCAGACCCATCACCCCCATCCTCCTGCAGCTCAGCCTCTTTGGAGGAGCAGGGAGGGCAGGATCAGGCTCAGATCCCACCCTGTGTGGGACCAAGCACCAAAGCACCTTTGGCAGCCCCAGGTATGGACATACCTGGTCATGGATTTCAAGTTCAAAGTGGAGAACAGAGCACAGAACAACCCCAAACCTCTCGGTTTTACAGCTGAGGTTCCCCACCACCCCTCCCAGCCCCAGGCACCTGAACACAGCCAAAGGGCAGAGTCAGTAGAAACCTTTATTAAACACAAAGCTCAGAGGAACACAAGCTTGTTAAATGGCAGTAAAAGTGAAAGTGCGTCTCCAGCTCGGCCCAGGGGGACCCCAGGATCCCCCTCCCCTCCTCTCCCAGCCCCAGTGGCCTGGGCTTGGGGAGCCAGAGCCAAAGGGCTGCACAGGGAGGGGAAGGAAAGCCTGGAGACAGCGTTGGGTGCTCACCTGCAGAGACGCTCCCCCTGGCCACCTCTGTGTCCCCTGAGGGGACAAGCGCACGGTCCCAGGGCCACCAGCCCCCTCAGCCCCGTCCCCACTGCCACCTGCCACAGCCGTGGCCTTGCCAGCCCCCTTCTGGACACAAGCAAAGCCAGGATGTGCTGGTGAGACCCTGGTCACACCCTCCATGTCCCACCAGCACCGTCCTCCTGCTCCCTCCTGCCCCCTCCATGTCCTGGGAGAGCTCCACATGCCATAAATAATAAATAAATACCCCACGCTCAGCCAGGCTGTGGGCAGCCCCCAGGCAGGGGGACAGCCCTAAGCCAGCACCCCCACACCTCCACCACCCCCTCCCAGCACAACAAAAACTCTCAGCACCCCCACTCTGCTGTACAGCCCCCCAAACCCCCATGGAAATGAAACGCTGTCCCCAGGGGACAATAATAAATTAATCAAATCATTAATCTATACACAGGACTGCTTAAAGCTCTGGAACGGGCTCCTGGGGGGCAGTGGCTCTGCCCTGGGCAGTGCCCCTGGTCAGGGCCCTATGGGGGGGTCCCCCAAGTTGGGAACCCCACCCTGGCATCCTCCTGGTGGGGCTGGAGCTGGGGATGCCACCGGGCTGGAGGGATAACGAGAAAATATTGCAAAAAGGGATGGGGGAGAACAGGGAGCGCTGGAGCCAGAGGGGCTGCCCTGCCCTGCCCTGCCAGGGCTGCCCCTCCCCTGGCACTGCCCCAAACACCCAGGTGGGCTCAGCCTCAGAAGTCCAAGGGGGTGAAGTCCCCAAAGTTGCAGTCGAAGAGCTCGCTGATGCCCTCGCCCTCCTCCAGCCCAAAGTGATAGTCCTGTGCCTGGGGTGGCGACAGGTTGATGAACTCATCGGGCAGGAAACCCGCCAGGTCCTCCCTGCTCTGCTCCAGCAGCATGTCCATGGAGGCCAGGGGAGACAGGCTCACCTCCTCCTCCTCCTGCTCCTCCTCCTCCTCCTCCGGGCCCTTGCTGGGCAGCGCGCTCGGCCCTGGCAGCAGCGCTTCTGTGGGCATGGCAACAGCTGTAAATCCCATAATACTCTCCAAAGAAACCCCCAAAAAAGCTTTTTTGGCTAGGGAGATCCTGCCTTCCCACCTCCCTGCCTTGTTGGGATGCCTGAGCAGCATGCCAGCTCATTGCTTGGGCCACTTCCGAGGGACTGAGAGCCACCGTGACATCCCACCAGCTCCTCCCTTGTGTCCCCAGCCCCCTCGTGTCCCCAGCCCCCTCATGTCCCCAGCCCCCTTGTGTCCCCAGCTCCTCCCTCCTGTCCCCAGCCTCTTTGTGTCCCCAAGTCTCTCGTGTCCCCCAGCCCCCTCGTGTCCAGAGCCTCCTTGTGTCCCCAGCCCCCTCCCTCGTGTCCCCAGCTCTCTCATGTCCCCAGCTCTCTCATGTCCCCAGCTCGTGTTCCCTGCTCCCTCGTGTCCCCAGCCCCACCTTGCTCTCCAGGCAGCAGAGGCATGTTCACATCCTGGGCAGGATGCAGGAGCAGGGGGGCTCTGGGCTGTGAATGGCTGGGAGGAGAGTCCTCAGCAGGGGCTTTGAAGGGGCTCTTGACAGGGCTGCAGACCCCCGAGCTGTCCTCGGGGCACAGGAACACATCAATGGGGCCCTGAGTGCTTCTCACGGAGACCTGGAACGCCTGGGGAGGGGACAGGAGTGACACAAGGTGGCACAGGGACACGCAGAGTGTTGGGGAAGATGAAACAGGAAAGCCTTATCAATATGATTGTCTGGCAAAAGATTTTGAGAATATGGAAACTATAAGTGAGATTGAAATGAAAGCAAGCTCTGAGATCCCTCAGTTACTGAACAACTGGAAAACAATGGTGTGGCCAGCTGAAGGTGATCCCCTTTTGATGGAACAACAGCCTCTGCTTGCAGACAGGCCCAAGGCTCAGAGCAGACCCCACTGGCTGGGCAGAAGGGGCCCAAAGAGGAGTTTTTAGGGTTTAAAATGTAACACAGTGTGGTAATGTAATGATTCTTATAGGCTGTATGGAAATGCTGTAGGATTTGTATCTTGTACTAGATTGGTTAGTGAGAATTAGAATATTCAACACAGAAGAAGATTTATGGTATTGTAATGGGAACCTTGCTCTCTTACCCTTTTTACTCTCTTACCTTTTTTACTCCCTTACCCTTTTCCTCTCTTACCCTCTCATCCTCTCTCCCTCTCTCTTCTCTCAGTCCTGCTCTGAGCTGTGTTTGGCAGCTCCCAGCAGGACCCTGCCCCCAGGCCCTTTGCAATAACCCCCAAGTTCCAGCCCTGGCTGCAGAGATCTCTCATGTCCGTCTGTCCTGACCATCCTGCCCCTGACACTCTGACAGCAGAGAACACTGGGCTGCTCAGGGAGGGCACAGGAGGAGCAGAGCGTGACCCCAACTCACCTCTGCAGGGTCTGACACCTGCAGCTGGGTCTCTGGGGGGGCTTTGATCACCATCACCATTTGCTCCGCGGGGTCCACGATGCTGCGGAGGTCCTGGCAGGTGACATAGGCTGCGGTGGGGCGGGTCAAGGAAGGGACACGGGGATGTGGGCTGAGAACAGCCCTGCCTGTGCCTCCAGGGCTCAACCACAGCCACCACCCAGCCAGCCCCGCCCCTCAACCAAAGGATATTGCTGGTTGGCGGGGTCCTCGGTGAGCAGGCGCAGCTGCACCGTGCACATCTGGATGAGGTCATCCAGCTGCCGCTCGGCCGCCTGCAGCTCCCGCAGCTCCTTCTCCAGCAGCCGGTGCCGGCCTGGCGCTCCCACGGTGGCCTGGCTGCCCCTGGGGAGCACCGTGTCCATCAGCAGCCAGCCCCCACAGCTTCCTGTGCCCCAGCCCACAGCCAGGGAACCAGCCCTGCAGGGATTTTAGCAGCAGAGCCCTCCCCAAGGCTGGAGGCAGCCCCCCACCCAATGCCCTGGATGACTTGGGGGTCCCAGGAGGACTCACAGGAGCCTTGTGCCACTGAGCACAGCCTTCCCCTGCAGCAGAAGCTCTGGTGACCCCACCCTGAAATTCTCCACCCAAGTAAGACCCTCCTCCACCCAGACAGCTCCCCCACCCCAGGCACACCCCATGAGGCCAGGGACATACAGCCACTGGATGTGGTTCTTGGATTTCTTGGTGATGAGCTGTATGCCCTCCAGGACGTTGGTGATGTCGTAGATGCGCCTCTTCTGCACCTTCAGCACCTCGGCCGCCCAGTTGAGGTCCACCACACCATCTGGGGACTGGCTCAGCAGCTCCAGGAAGCGCTTGGTGGTGAGGTTCAGGGAGGTTTCATACCGGGACTTCTCTCCAGGAGACTTTGCCCCTGCCAGACGTGGAGGACAAGTGTCATTCAGCCACAAGGGAAAGCCAGAGCTGAAAGGTCACAAAACTCCTGCCACCTGCTTGCAGGTGGCTTATGGATCAGTGACCAGGACTGGCACCCCAAACCCAATCTGTTTTGTCAGGGCAATGGGGTGAGCTGCCCAAATGCCCTGCAGGAATGATGTTGCAGCACCTGGCACAGGCTGTGACACCTGTGCTCTGTTGTGACCGCAGCTGTGACTGAGACACCGAGGGGGGAGATAGCAGCAGGTCCTCCTGGGACACTGCACTGACACCATGCTGGCACCTTCAGCTCCATCCCACAGGGAGGGACAGAGCCAGTGTGACACCCAGCAGAAGGGCAGGACAACCGTGCCACCAGCACAGGGCACAGCAGCGAGTGTGGAGAGTGGACAGCCCCAGGGACACCCACACCAAGACAAAGGGCCTGGAAGAACCTGCCAGGGATGAGCCTGGGAGAGCAGAGTGGGGCTGCTGGAGCTCTGCTCTGAGCTGGGCTGGCAAGGGGGCCAGGGGGAGTGGAGCTGATACCTTTAGCAGGGTTCCTGGCCTTGCCCCGGCTCACTGGCAAACTCTCCGCTATGTACTGGTGATCCGTCTCCAAGTTCAGCTTCCTCTTCACCTGCAAGGGACGGGGTCAGCATAGGCTCAGCCCCTCCAGGCTCCCGAAGGGTGTCCGTGAGGAACCCCCCCAGCACCGTGGGGTACGGACACCCCAGATCCCAGCAGGAAGGGGGTGACGGGAGCTGTCACACACCCCGGCGGGGATGGGGGGCTGTCCCCACCGCGGGGGCCCTGCCACGCTGCGGGGAGCGCCCCAAAGCCGGCCTGGGCCGTGGGTGGGGAGCAAAGCACGGCCCGGCGCCCGGGCCTGCGGCTTCCGGAGCGGCGGCGGGGCAGGGCCGGCCCGGCAGGTGCTGCGTGGCACGGCCCGGCCGTACAGCCTGGCACAGCCGGGAGCACCGGGCACGGGCTGACACCGAGCGGGGCACGGCATATGGCACGGGGCACAGCACGGAGCAGTACAGTACGGCCCGGCCCGGCCCGGTACGGAGCCCTGTCCGGGATACAGCACGGCTCGATGTACAGCCCGGCTCGGTACGGCACGGCTCGCTACAAAGCACGGCCCGGGATCCAGCCGGGCCCATTGTACAGCCCGGCTCGGGTATACGGCCCGATGTACCCCGTCGGGTATACGGCCCGGTCGGTACACGGCCGGTTCGAGGCTCAATACTGCACAGCCCGGAACACAGCCCGGGCCCGCCGGTCCCCGGAGCCCCCGCCCGGCCCCGGCCCCCGCCCCCTCCCCATCCCGCTCGCGGGGGTTACCGGCGGGCGGCCCAGCGCGGGCCGTCTGGGCGCGGCGCCGGGGCGGGCGGGCTGCGGCGTGGCGAAGAGCAGGAGGTCGGTATCGGGGTGGCCGCCGCCCGCGGGCTCCTCGGCGGCGGCGGAGACGATCAGGAGGTGCGGGGAGGCGCTGCCCAGCAGCGCCGCCAGCCCCGCCGCGCCGCCCGCCGCCGCCATGGCTCACATGGCAGCCCGTGCCGCCGGTGCGGCGGGCGGCGCAGCGGGCAGGGCGCGGACAGGGGCGCGGCCCATGGCGGGCGCGGGGCCGCTGCGCTCCGGCTCCGGTTCCGGCTCCGCTGCGCCCGCCGCCGGATTGTTCGGCGCGCCGGCCCCGCGCGCCTTTGCGCGCCAAATCCTTTTTGCCGCGAAAAGCGGCGCGAGCCGCCCCGCCGCCCGCCCATTGGCTGCGTCCGCCGCGGCGGGGAGGCGAGGGCGCGCTGCCATTGGCTGAAGCGAGCGGGGGGGCGGGCGGTGCCGCGCGGCCATTGGCGGGCGGGGGCCGCGCTGACAGGCGGCCAATCAACGGCGCCGCGCCGGGGCGGCAGCCAATGGGAGCGCGGCTCGGGGACGCGGCGGGGGCGGCGCGTGGGTGCGGCGCGCGCTGTGTGTGTCCCCTCCCCTGTCCCTGTTTGTGTCCCCCGGGTTCCCCCCGGGGGTGTCCCCTCCTGTGTCCCTCTTTGTGTCGCCCATTGAGGTGCTGCCAAGTCCCTGTTTGTGTCCCCCGTGTCCCCTATAGGGGTGTCCCCTCCCCTGTCCCTCTTTGTGTCCCCCATATGTGTGTCCCCTCCCGTGTCCCTCTTTGTGTCCCTCCGGGGGTGTCCCCTCCCGTGTCCCTCTTTGTGTCCCCCATATGTGTGTCCCCTCCTGTGTCCCTCTTTGTGTCCCCCCCGAGGGTGTCCCCTCCCGTGTCCCTCTTTGTGCCCCCCTCGGGGGTGTCCCTCTTTGTGTCCCCCCCGGAGATGTCCCCTCCCGTGTCCCTCTTTGTGTCCCCCACGGGGGTGTCCCCTCCTGTGTGCCGCCGCGGATTCCTCGCTCCGCCCCGGCTCCAGCTCCCGGTTTTCCCCCGTGGGGAGTTCCAGGCTCAGGCGGAGCCGGTCCCGGCCCGGGCTCAGCCCCGCCGGGCTGATGGGCTCCGGCTGCGGCCGCTCCCCGCCCTGGCTGCCCGGGAGGACGGGCCACGCACCCACGAGCAAAGTTCAGCTCGCTCCGTGCCCTGCACGATGTGAGCCACGCTCCTCCCACACACGGGTGTCACTGCTGGGGAGGAGGAGGGTGGCTTTGGGCTCTGCAGGGTGTCCCAGGCTGTCCCCGTGTGTTCCCCTGGCCCGGGGGTGACAGCCAGCCCAGCCTGCCCTGCTTTGGAGACATCACTGGTGCTCAGCCGTGCTGGGGCGGGCGCTCTCCTGTCTTGCAGGGCCAGGCGCCTGCAGTATTTTAGTCTAAAAGTTCTGGAGCGATGAAGGGCTCAGCTCAGGGTTGCCCTTGTTCAAAGCAGCACCGAGACCATGGGTGAGGCTGTCGGGCAAGTCTGGAGGTTTCAGGCTCACGCTGCTCCAGGGGTGCACCGGGATGCTGCAATCTGCTCCATCCGTTCGGCCGCTGATTCACGGCATTCTGTGTTTCCAAACACCAAACAGCTGCGGATCTCGGCAGCTCCTTCAGGACTGCCTGATAACCCCTCAGAGGGCAGAGGAAAAGCTCTGCCGGCAGCACAACCTGCACTTGACCGTGCCAGGCGCTATCTCCGGCCGTGGCACCGTGTGGCAGGGGAGAGGCAGGGACACAGGGACGGCAGCCGGAGCAGGGAGTGGCCCCATATGCTGAGAGAGATGAGAGTCCACCCACGAGACACGGGACAGGCGGCTCCCAGCGCCACTATCTCCTGCCTGCAGGACACCGATAACCTCCTGCTGCATGAGGAAGCAAAATTAAAAAGGAAAAAAGTACATCCTGCTAATAATAATTTTAAAAAAGCATTTCAAGATTAGGCCTTTTGCAGGGGAAGCTCATGAGGAAAGTGTGGAGTGGGCTCCGAGCAGGGCACCCAAGCCAGGGTTTCACCCCTCTGTGCCCCCCAGGAGCTGTCCCACGTGTCCCCAGGGGTCTGTGGTGGAGCACAGTGGCCCCCAGCCCGCTGTGCTGCCAGGCAGGGCTGGGAGCCAGCCCTGGCTCCTGCCCCAGCCCTGCTGCCAAGCCTGACCTGCCTGGGATGCAGGAGAAGGAAGGGCTGGGCAGGAGAAAGAAGGGCTGTGCAGGAGAAGGGCTGGACAGGAGAAAGAAGGGCTGTTTTTCCCAGCAGTGCCAAGCCTGACCTGCCTGGGATGCAGGAGAAGGAAGGGCTGGGCAGGAGAAGGGCTGTGCAGGAGAAAGAAGGGTTGTTTTTCCCAGCAGTGCGTGGGATGCAGGAGGCATTTGCAGGGATGAGTTAACTCCTCTGCTGCAGAGCAGATCCTGACATGCAGTGCCCCTGTGCTGGCCTAACAGGTTTCTGGCTTTAAAGGATTTTATGCTGGATATTTTGGCAGCGGTTGCAATTCCCATGGGGATGGCCAGCACTGAGCAGGGCTGTGATTTCCCTGGATCTCTCCATCCTTAAATACAGCAGGAACGTGGTGCATGTCCGTGACCAATCAAATCAACTCGCTGTGCCTCATTTCTTCATCAGCAGAGAGCAAATAGAAACGCTGCCTTGCTTAAAGGAAATTAATACAGTTAATTAACACTTGGCCCTTCTAATATTCCAGGCCCCACTCTCCAGAGCCCTTCCACTGCAATATCATCATTACTAGGAAGCATAAGCAACAGTTAGACCAGATGTTTGCACACAGTTAATGCTTCTTCCATCTGGGGAAGGGGGAAGAGGCAAGCCCAGCAGCCGGGCGGGAGCGCATGGCTGGCGGTGCTCTCCCCATCCCTGGGGAGCCCCAGCCCGGCGTTTCCTGGGATGAGGCAGGGTTTGGGACACAGCTGCCGCACCAGCTGCTCCCTCTCGGCTCACAAAGGCCGCCTTCACCCCCCCTAATTCATGCAGGAGCTGTTCGGGGGGAGCAGGCTCTGCCCCCTCTGCCGGAGCCTCTCCGAGGCTTTCAGCGCGAAAAGGGCTGGCAGTGGAGACAAATGAAAGGCAAACGCTGGTGGGAGAAGGGCGGGCAGGGCCTTTCCTTGCATGTGGATGAGGGGAAGCAGATGAATTCTGTCTCCTGCACAACTGCAGCCCCTCTAAGGAGTGCAGACGTGCTCCCTAGATTAGCAGTGCGGCAGGTGCTGCTCCCAGATAAAGCCCTGTCTGCACAGCCCTGCTCGGCCTGGAGAGCATCAGGAGGCTGCTCAGACACTCTGTGCCCCAGCAGGATTCAGCCCGTGGGAGTTTGGGTGGGTTTGGCACTGTGGGATGGACTCGGAGCAAGGGGTGTGTGCTGGGGAAAGGCTGCAGCTGGAGCACAGCTGGTACCTGTGCTGGAAAATCACCTGGCAGCAGGAGCAGGGGGAGGAGAGCTGGCAGGATGGAAACAGCCCTGGGCTCAGTCAGTCCCTGCCCTGGCAGTCTGTCCTGCCTCCAGCAGCTCCCATTGGGTGTCCCAGGAGCACAGTTACTGTCCCTGCTGCCACACTCCTGCCTCCAGCAGCTCCCACGTGGAGAGTTCTCGGGTTTCTGTGGATGAGATGACCCCAAGGTATCAGAAAGTCTCTTTTTTCCCTGCCCCATGACTGAAGAAGAAGTTGAGATTCGTCGGTTCTGCTTTTCAAAGTTGTTTATCTTTTCTTATCTATCACATTCTTTCTCTGACCTGCTGAGATCTGTCCAGCAGGTCGGGTTGTGGCACAGTCCCTGCCCTTGGGGTGGTGTTGGCTTTTTATACTAAGAACTACGTGTGCTTTATTTACAATAATTTTCCAATACCTGTCACCCATATTAGACAGTTTGTCTCTACTCTAAACCAATCCTGAAGTGCCACCATCACAGCAGAAGATGGAGGACAAGAAGAAGAAGAAGAAGGACAGGACATGCCCAGATTCCTCCATCTTGCTTCTTGAACCCCCATTCTAAAACCCCAAAATTCTACTTTTTTCACCCTGTGACAAATTCACTGTCATTCTACTCAAACCCTTGTGGCTTGTAAATCCTCACACAAAGTTGGGAATTGTTTCCATGGGTTAAAATCAAAGGCATGGGTGTCTTTGACTCTGTGCCAAGGTCTCTGAGCCCCCTGCCAGGGTCTGGAGTCCTGCAGGGCAGCCAGAGGAATGTGCTGGGTTCTGACAGAGTGTGCTGAGCTGGCACATGGAAGGACAGTAGGACTTCCCTGGGGTCTCCAGCCAATGCCCCTGTTCCCAGGTCACTGGTTTGCTCACAAGAGGGTGAATTGGCAGTGTGGCACAATCTGCCTGAGGTGGCACCAGGCAGCTGGGGAAAGCCCAGAGACCCCCAGTTGTGCTGCCCTGACCCTGCAGTCCCTCAGCTCTGCCCCCTGAGCCATCACTGTTGCTCTGTGCAAACCAAAGCAATTTTCTGGAAGCATAAACAATGTCTAAAGCTGGCTTGTGGCAGAAGGGAGCAGCCCTGGCTTAGGTGTCTCCTCTCAGATCCCAGTCCCAAAAGCCAGGCAGTGCCTGTTCCCTTGCATCTTTACAGAAGATAACCCAGTTCTTTCCACAGGACACCAGGTCAGCTCCTCTTCTGGATGCTGGGCATACCAGACTCAGCAGTGCCATCTCCTCCTCTCCTGTGGTGGCATCTGCTTTTAAAGCTCACATCAGGCAGGGTATCTCAGGGAAGCCATGGGCACAGAGCCTGTTCCCCTCCTGCTCTGCTCCACACCCAGCCAGAGCAGCCTTGTCTCATGCTCTGAGCCAAAACACCACAAACACTGAGAGCCACTCCATTCCACAAGGCTCTTGCATTTCCTTCACTCAAACCCCATGGAAGAACAGAGAGGCTGAAGTGTTTCTGGGAGCCTGGGGCTTTTATCCAGGAGTGATTTGGGAATATGCCAGGCTCTGGCTTCTACCTCTCCTGAGTGTCTGCAGCCAGTCCAGGTTCACTTCCCCCCACATGGTCACTGGCACTGAGAACCCAAAAGCGTTGGAACACTTTTGCTTTTGTCAGAATGAAACCTACAGGTCACCCAGAGCTTCACCTGGAGCAGAACAAGGGCTCAGACAGAGTGTGACACTCTGTAAGGAGGAAAAAAACCACTTGAAGTTAGCACTGGCATCAGTTTGGAGGTGTTGATTTGGCTTCTCATGGCCCAGCTCAGGCTGGACACTCCAGCATTCCAACAGCTACAAAGCTGCAGGTTTGGTCTTACAGACACTCAGCAACTGCTTCATCCCCACCACCACAGCAGTGACCTCTACAGCACATTCCCTCTCAACTTTTAGCTTGGAAAAGGCAGAAAAATCATCTATAGATCTACTTATTTTCTCTATTTTTCATATTAAAAACCAAAAAGGGGTGTCAGCCATCCCAGTTTGTTTCTGCAGCTGGTACCCTTACTCCTGCAGGAATTAAATCTGATGCTGGGGTCAAAGCAGCACTGCCTGTTGTTTCCAAGCTGGTAACACCAGAGCCCAAACCATGCCAAAACTGCACCTTGTGCATGGCTTCTCTACATCCAGGACTACAGACATGCAGTAATCAAGCATTGCTTCACAGATTTTAGCTTAAAAATGAGGACAGTAAAAAAAGACAAAAAATTAGGATTTTTATTTGTAGACAAAGCACAGTATTGTAATATTCAAAGAGTGATTCTACAGAAATAATGGCCACAAGAAGGTGATTCATAGTGGATAGAGCCACATCATTAACCCCCTGCCCTCTCTTTTTATTGTTTTAAACCCAAAACCCAAGATATTTCTACAAGCATTCTGATCAGTGTCACATAAGTTACCTGAGTTTATGTTCTTTATTTTATTCTATGCTGTCAGAAAATCAAGGCCTGGATTACACAGTAATTATGAATAAAAAATATTTCTCAAAAGCAGAGGTAATAATACCTGTATTATAGAGCTTTTAGTTTGTTTTTTCTCCCTCCTCACCAGCAGAGACATGAAAATTCTTCTAAGTAAAGAAAAAAGTTACCTCCTCCACCAATCTGGTAGGAACACACAGGTTGAAAACTCAAGATTAACACCCCAAAAATATTAACAGTGGCAGACAGACATGATGCCTTATTTTCCCTCCTCCCTTATCTGTTGGGTTTCAAAAACAGCATCAGAAAACACATCCAGCTTCAGGCTGCCATGAGCCAGGGAGACAAACACAGCCCGACAAACAGGGAGCAGCACCCAGCTTGGGGTATTAACCAAAGGTCACCTTTGTGCTGATGCAGGGAAAATGAGTTGGAGCTCCCCAGCAGCTCCTCCTGGTGAGGGATCTGCACAGGGTTCTGGTGGCTCCAGCAGAGCTCACTCTGCACAGAGGGCTCCTTCCAGCAGCCAGGGATCATCTCTGCCCTTCCACACACACCCAGCTGCGTGTAAAGCAGAGCCTGAGCTACTCCAGCAGGGCAGCAAAGTCTCACAGCACCAATATCAAAGCTGCTCTACACCCTCCCCATCCTGGCACAGGGTGCCCAGAGCAGCTGTGGCTGCTCCATCCCTGGCAGTGCCCAAGGCCAGGCTGGATGGGGTTTGGAGCAACCTGGGATAGGGGAAGGTGTCCCTGCCCATGGCAGGGGTGGGATGGTTTTTGAGGTCCCATCCAACCTGAACCACCCCACAATTCTCTGAGAAATGCCCTGAGCAGGGCCAGTTCTCTGGGTATTGCACAGACACAGGGATGGTGGCCAGGACAAATGCACTGTCCCACTACAGACACAGGGTCACAGCTCCCAGCAGCCTCCTCAAACCCTCCTCTGCAGCACTGAATGGCCAAACACAGGTTCAAACACCCTCTCCTTCACTGCCAGCATCAAACACAGCCCAGAAAAGCTTCCCTAACCCAAATGTCAGGCAGATGTCTCATTTTCACCTTTGTTAAATAATGCAATTGTCCCGGAAAGGGTTCTCCAGCCCAGCACACAAGCTGTCCTCCAAAGGCAAGGGAAGCACAGTGGGTATGCCAGGGCAGCAGGCAGCAGCAGTAAATAACCTTGAGCCTGCTTTGTTCCTTCATAAAATAAATGATTAATAGCCCAGGATAGTCAATCTGCTTGATAAGCTCAGGATTGCTGAAAACTTTTGATCAGTTTGATTCATTAACCTTTAAAACTGCCTCTAAGAGAGGCTTAAAATGTGAGGGAGAAGCATCATTTTAAACACTTCAATTTTATGCAGGGTTCCTTGCTTTTGACAAACTGAGCAAAGATAGAGACACTCTGCTCCTCTTTAGAGACACTCAGCATCAGTCAGGTGTCAAGGGAAAAATAACAGGGGGGAAAATAAAGTTGTTGTAGACAAACAACCCCATGCTCATCTTAAAATTCAAAACCAGTCAGGGCTGGGAGAAGAAAATGACCCTTCTTTGTGATCCTTAAGCACTTGGCCATATGCAGGTGGCTTCCCAACTGTCTCTTTATTTCTTTTGCTTTTAATGCTAATAAAAACAGAACCCAAACAGGGCACTCCATTCCCCAAACAATGCCCTGGGGGAGGGCAGGGAGTGTCACTTACATATCCCAAAAGTCTGACTCAGACAAATTACTTCTAGTTCACTTCCCCACGACACTCCTGCATTGTTCCAACACCTTG